ACTAGCCCATCAATGATTCAGTTCTGGTTATTCATCTTGGTTTTATTACTTTCCAAGAAGTGTGCGTTATGATTGTGACGTCGCGTCGGTTGTTTTTCCCCTTCCAGCAACCTCGGAGACAATGTCAATCGTACAGGTAAAAATTCTTTCGATTGTTTGCCTGCATTGGGAGTTGCCATATTTTGAATAATCCAGCATTTAGTGGAAAATATTAAGAAAGTAATGTCACCATTGCATTGTAGTATTTAAATTTTCCGTTTTGTCTATGTATTTTTTTTATTTATTTACGATGCATTCAAAGAATTGTGCTAAGCACTTGCTGCTCTTTGTGGTCAAGCAGCTTGCTCAACGGTATTTTTCTGAGGGCAGCTGGGACTTCTTTGAATAAAGCATTGAAGTATACATTTATAAAAATAACTTTGTAATGTTATTGCCCTTATATTTTTATAACATTAACTAACTTACACCTGCTCCTGCCTTGCATGAGCACTGCGATATGATATAATACTCGTTTTTCTCACGCTCAAGTGTCAAATTACTATCGAGTTTGACAGTTAGACGCGATAAAAAACGTGATATAACGTAAATTGAGGTACTCATGCTACGGGGACTGGTTTCTCAAAGGCTGTTTAGCGATAACTAACAAGTTGCCTTTAATGTTAACTGTCAATGAACTAATCAATGTATCTTCAGTACTTTAAATTCTGTAATTATCAAAAAAAAAACCTACCTACTTACTACCTATAAATAATAAAAACAAAGTTAAAATACTAGTTGTTTTAATTTCGGTCGGATAAAATCATTTGCTGTCAATGTCAAAGTAAAATATATTCATTTGTGTTGTGTTTTGTGATTGCGAAGTAAGCCGGTTCGTAAGCTAAAACATATTTTTTATTTAAAATGGAATTAGGAGACCAAAAAAGCGAACAATAATTTTTTCTAGTGACAAGAAACGTATTCTTTCGGAGTTGGTTTTAAAATACCGGGACATGGTTAAAAAATATGCGCACTGCATGCTACTACGAACTCAATAAAGATAAAAGGATGGATTAGTCTTTCTGAAGAATTTAACACCATCAGCACATATTGCCATCGAACACATACGGTGTTAAAGTGTTGTTGGGAAAATATTAAAAGACAGACCAAAAAAGATCGGGCAGCCAAAAAAAAAGAGTTTATTTGACTGGTATGTACTTTTAAAACTCACGTGGTGATTTATTATTTGTGGAAGAGAAATCGATTAGATATAAGTTATTTTATTACATCCTACTTTTTGTTCACATAATATATTTCGTGCCTGTTCTTTGTGTGCTTTTTTATATTTCAGGTGATGTATTTTTAGTAAAGACAAAAAATGTTTACTGACGTTTAATTAATATTCAGTATACAATGTATTCCAGGAAAATATTGAAATAACATTTTTGTCCATGGCTCAGGTCAGACAACCGAATAATAAAGATGATGTTGAAGTTGAGGAATCATTGTGCCAAGCGAGTACCTCAAATTGAAAAGGGAAGGGTACCTTAAATGAAAATAATGTGAGTTCAAATAGTATTTTAACTAATGTGATAATTTAGTGCGTACTTTTCAGTTTTTTATAGTAATTATTGCTTTTTACAGGAAGGTGAAACCTGGAGTACATGGACTCCAAATAATTTAAAAACGCCTGTTTCAGAAGAATTAAGACCTTCCAAGCTTAATGAAGAGGACTGGCTGAAATGAAGGAGACCTAAACAAGATTTTGGGTGATACTCTCACAAGAGAGAAAATTAAAATTGATAAAAATATTGCAAGAAAATGCTGAGAAAGAATCTCGTGTTAGAATTTGTGTTTTAGAAGAAAAATATTTTTTATTCATATTTTAAAGGTAATTTAGAAAGTAGTTTTATTTTAATTATTAATAAATTATGGAAAATGTTTGAATGATCTGCAAAAAAAATGTAATTGATTACCAAAAAAATACAACTGGTAACCTAAAGGTTAGGTAAGTTGCTCTATTTATAAATTATCTTTTTTTTTCTTTTTTTTGAGATCATTAATGACCCTATGTATATATGACCCTGAAATTGTTTTACTTTCGGGAATCTTTATGCTCTTGTTTTACTTTCGTTGAATAAAATAATATGAATTTGTTACATGTGTTTAAGTAATTTAAGTTTTCTAGTTAGATATACTTTTCTAATGCAATAAAATCCTTGAATTCTTTTACTAATTTTGTTTGTTTTATTCTTTGTTATATTTAAGGACTCACGTTCTGTATGATTAGTTCTATTGAACTAAATAAAATGATTTTTTTATGGCATCTTTATATGTATAAAGAAAATATACCAGAAGAATTTAAAAAATCTTGTTATTTTAATATTTACACCAGACTTTCAATATAATATGTAATTAATGCTATTCTGGTAGGGTACAAGTCTCTTGATGGGTTACTATTAGGTACTATCCAAATTTCGCTGCTGTCAAAATCTTCCCCTTTCTAATTTTTCTTTATATATCATCTGGATTCTCAAGAATATTTTGGTAGTAGTCTTGATAGTTATCAATCATAACATAAAACATTGACTGCATTTTAACTAAGCACAACACAAAAATTTTAAAAGTCGATATAACCTAAAATTGGTGTAGCAACCGATACACAGCAAACGTCAATAATGTCTGACCGACAGTTAAGCGATGGTTTCGAGCTCGGTTAAGTTGATCAGCCGTTTATGGGACATAACCGCCGGTTAACACATGGTGAACACAAAAAAATGCTTAAACGGTTGTTTAGGAGATAAACGCTTGTTTAAAATGTTGGTGAACTCGGGCCTTAGTTGCACCTCGGTCCTTAACTAATTGTAGTCTAGTACATTTTTTTATCAATTTTGCTGTAGATAGGACTTATTTCCGTCATACCATTTGCACATCTGTGAATGGAACGCAGAGGCGTCAACTTTTCATGTTCCATCGCCAAAGCCGCATAGCACACACGTTCACCTTAGCATGAATTAACGACCGTTTATAGTTGTGACGATCCACCCACGCGAATTATTAAAACTATTACTTTAATGCTACTTGTATTGGACTAAGTAACGATCAGTGACATGCGAATGTACTTTTAATCTTTTGCCTATAAGCAATTCAGAGATTACATATTTAATTCAATTTAATAATGCGCAAGTCATCTATAACTCACAACATGATTATCTTGCAGAAACTTGGTTAGTTTCACGTTATAAAAAAATCAAATAGTAGATATTTGATTACCACGCAGTTTAGCTTTTAATATGCGGTCAATGTATGTTCAATGAGAGTTTTTATTTTACGTTGATCACTAAGAAAAACCCCATAATTTTTTAATCATTATCAAGTCACGGTGGAGGCGTCTGCGTTTAGGTGTGAATTGTCTTATTGACAAAACACTTGCGTCACTTACCTAAGTCTCACTCAAGTTCAAGGTGACAAGGTTGTTGGAAAAGTATCAGTCGTTTCGTTTCCTAAGCAATAACAACGTTCAATAATGTTCTAACGATTCCTTATTCAAATTCTCAATATTATGAGAAAAAAATAAACACAATAAATGACAACAATAAATTGGTGGTTGAGTAAGTAAGTTGCCATTTTAAAATAGCGAATATTCTTTCTGGGATTGCCCCATTTTATAATTCCACATCACCGTATTTTATATGTATACAGTTGGCTGCGGAGGTCCGCTCCATTTCTAAAAGTATAACGAAAAGAATATGTAACAATGATTCATGCTGTGTTCATAAGTGAACAAACAAAGCGTTGGCCACGAATAAAGAACTATGTAAGAAACTTTCTGGCAAGTACAAAATGTATTTTAACTTGTCGTTGATGTCACTGCTTAAACAAATTTAGCAAACAAGCTGACATTGTTAAAATAAAACACGTGCGACCGTTTCTTACCTTAATACCCTTGTTCCTTGTACAGGAACGATTTTTGACTTTATAATTAACAATTAATTCCAGCCTTTACAACCGTTCGGATAGCAAACATGCCTGAAAGACAGATATGGGTTGTTGCAATATAAATAACTGCAGTACTATTGCAACACCTCGCAAACTTCTCTTTAGTGGATGCATTTATCACTGGCCAGATAGCAATCTAAGCGGTATTTCTGCGGGCGTGAGAAACAAAGGCTACTTACTGAGAAACAATAACATTGCAGTTTGCGTCGCGCCGTGACTGGTCCCGCTAACTAGTAGTGCAGTTATCTTTCGCGTTAATGACACTTGCCTTCCCTATTATTGTATTACCTAGTTTTACGCAATTGTATTTTAAAGCCATTGACGAAACAGGTAGGTACATTGCAATCGAATAAATGTTCGGTTCTTTTATAATAATAATAATTTTATAATTATAATAATTTTATTTTAGTAACCTTCATTGTTATTTATGACCTGAGGTGACATGAATAAATAAGAACTTGTTTGTAGTAAGAACGGAAAACAGTGGCTAAAACGGCGTCACGTTTTCGCCATTTGCTATTATAATCACGGAACTATATTTTTACTGTGCCTTGCTCTATGGAATATGGAGCGTAAAATAACAACAAACTTACATCTAAAAACTGTTTCTTGATACATATATCAATATTGTTGTACAACTTCTAATGAGCATACAGTAGTTTAATGAAATGTTATTAAAGTCGTTTAATTTAAAAGTAAAAGCTTTATATTCGCATGCGGTGCCTGTCGTTACTCCTTTAGGTTAATTAACGTCGTTTAGCGAGTGTGACGAACTCATTGAGCATGCCAGGTGTGGATCATTACTGCCCATTATCGTATTGGGGCGAAGCGCGGTGCGACTGCTGATCAGATTTCATTCCATACAGGGCCCTGTAGGGACGAGCTGTCAATTATCCCACTTTGAATTATTCAATGCCTCGCGATTTATCAACAACGTAGTTGTATTCATAATTTAGTTTCGCAAAATGTAATTCTTACAATTTACACGCTGATATAAGGAGTTATTGACAAAAAATTTCGTAAACATGGTGTTATTTTTGAAGCTCAATCGGTATGGTAGGTTTAATTATTTTGCATGGAACCGGATTACTTTGTAGTCCTAATAAATAGTTTGGGAGTGTGGTGTGAATGTGTGAGATGAACTGAGATAAGTCTGTTGTAATCTACTTATATCCATTTACATACAATCGGCAATGAAATGATTATCAGAATTATATTGGCATGTCGACAACAATGATTTGTCATATATTTTTATATAAAACTGTTTATGATTGGTTATCTATCAACTCCATTAATATTCTGTATTATAATAAATGTCAATGGCATGTTTATACTTAAATTAATATGATATTAAAATAAATCGAGAAAATTAATTCGGTATTGTATACAATCGACAATGGTCTATAAATCTTTAGAGATACCATGATGAATAATAAATAAACGAAGCGTCAGCAGTAGCTTTTCACTTGCCGTCACTTATCAACCGCTATTTTGGCAACTGTCTGCAACTCTTTTGGTTCCCAATATACCATTTATGTTTTATTACATGCCTTATATGGCGAAGATCGGTCTTTATTTCCATTTGCCATGAAATACAAATTATAGTATCGCTTTTTTTGTGTATGCGGCGGCATATTCTTCTTTTCTGATTGCATAAGGTCAAAGTAATGATGTTCCTGATGGTGGATGAATCATTCGTGTTATGCAGTTAATTTATGCACAATCATCTTTTATGTGTTTAAAACTCCGCGCAATACATATTTCAGTTATGATAATGGACAGTTAAATGAACGCTTGAAATATGGTATCGATGATTCAGCATTATAGTAATGTTTACTGACGTGACCCCGTTGCAGCTTCACAACGACTCACCTTACGAGAATGTAAATCAGTTTTAGTTGTGCACACCTTGCTTAAATATGCATTATGTTTATCATAATATTACCATGTTCTAAATTTATACCATCCATATTATTGATGTTATTTAACTTGATTTCTTAAAATTGTCCGTTCCTTTGATAGGTAGATAGGTCATCAACCCTATCACACTTGAGACAACAAATTTATGCTTTCCGAACAAAAAAAACTAAACAGTGTTTTGTTTACCGCCAACTAAGACAGAGCAAGCGGCAAATTATTAAAAAAATCCTTTTACCCTTATATTGTTTAGGCTTTGTTTAACTGTTTTCTTTTTTCTTTATTTTCCTTCTATATATTTTCCCTGACTGCAATAAAATTGCATTGAATTGTAAAACAATTTATTCTTTCAATAATACCATAAAGGAAATCATTGATGTTTTCATTTCCCTTCGTGAACATCAAGGAAACTCTCTATTAGACTACAGTTTGTTTTTATTGATCACAATTATTTTTCACTACATTGACTTCACAGATTGGCCTAACTGCATAATTGGCGTTAAGAATCGCATGTGTCCTACAAATGCAGCTGTTATATCAACTGCTAACACATCTTTCCCGGGCTCCGGGGCTCGGACACGAATTTCATTGCCTTTAATTAACATGTATTAGTGTCTATTACCCGTGAAAGTGTTACAAGAGTTAATTAGGTCAACATTTATGATACGGCTTTAGGCATAAATGATTTATTTTCATTCATATAAAATCCACTTTATTCACATTTTCTCCACAACGTCATATGAATGTATCTCTTTGCGATATTCGTCAACTGGTGAGAACCCTCCCATGAGACATTCTTAGATAAACAGGAGCTTAAAATGATCATAGAAACACTTTAATAAAAATATAATGCTAATAGAAAACGCAGATATTCTCGTAAAGATCACATTTAATAATGCCAAATTGTAAAAAGAAACCTTAATATTTTGCGCTATACGTCGTTGTTCTTGTGTTGTGTAATTATTTTCAACTTGAACTTGACCACAAAAACCAAAGTCATGCTCATACATAACATTCCGGACACGGTCTGTTGTCAAGTATCTCTTGTGTGTTAATAAAATGGGCAAATATATGAACTGTCGTTATAGCAATTACATCATTTGGACAACTTGTTTCTTTTTTAAATTAAAAAATATATTTTACAGATTCTTTCTTTATATAACACACAAGCTTTGAAATTGCTTCTTTTCTTGTATAGATATTAATATGTAAAATAATCACCCACGCAGTTTTTGACGACTGTAGAGCACGAATTTCGATCGTGAGACATAAACACACTACTCCGTCTATGTAGGTATCATTAATGACACCTCAATCACACGATATAACAAATACATAATAAGTATTTTTAACAGAATTATCAGAAAGGTTATCTTGTTCTGTCAAAAATTAAACATTGCTTTTATCAGTTTAACATCACTGGTGGGAAGCATAGACCATTTATTTTTAAAGTTAGTTTTGTCGCATGTCCGCAAACTTATCGCAAAAGTATGAATTCAATAACTGTGACAAATGTCTTCTTAGCATAACAATAATAAACGGAATTGCTTCAGACAGACGTGAAAAAATTTCGTCTTGTTATGTTAATGTTGTCAATTTAATTTGATGTCGTTCAAATTTGACAACAAAAGCCAGTTATCCCTTTAAATGTGACAACTTAAAGTATGCCATAGGAATAACCTTCAGTCGTTTAAATTACTAACATTTATTGTTTAAAACCTGAGACCTGCATACTGTTATTATGTGAAGGTATTTCCATGGGAATAGTAACGACTGCTTGTATAAGGGGGAGCCATCCGAAGAATTTGAATGACAAATTATTTATTAGCTACTGCAATGCAGCTCCCTATTAAAGCTTCAATTTGGCTCACGATAATTTGCAATTGCTCCTATTAAGTGCCGACATGTGCAAGGAATTATGGACTCCCCTTGCAAAGATCATCGGTGGTGATGTTATTGTTGAACCTACGCGGAAAAGATTGTCGCTTATTAATCAATGCGTGATGAATGATGATGATTGCATAGTTATTAAATGGTAATTATAGTTATTATTGATTAAGCAATAAAGGTTTTAGATTAGTTCTTTCATATATATGAACAGCACTAAACTATGATTCAGGTAATATTAATGTTCTTGCTATAAATGTCTTTTAAATCTTAAATTTGCACGCGATGAAAAACTTGTAGCCAATTATGGAATAGAAGTAGAATAACTTAATATCTACATCTGAAAAAGGCGATTACATACTATTTTATTTTCTTGTTAGAATGCGTTCGCTGAATTTCTTTCTGTTGTCTTAAATTAAATGGTCAACTTCGGTGAATTCAGTGGCATACGCTAGAAGATCACAAGTGATGTCTAAGTTATGATTTTCATGCCCACGCTTATTGACAAGGCCAACTTGCTACGCAGTTGAAAGATGATTAATCCGGCTCGGCCTGTCAGTGTCAGTGCTGGACGCACGCGGTCACCTATCGGCCGGCTTCATCGCCTCTGTGTACATCTTCGACTCTGAAGTTATTAAAATATTAATCGTGTGAGTTATCGAAGAGGTTAAATTTTATTTACACTTATAAATAAATATGGTTTGTTATATTCTTCGTGTCTTAATGCCTGCATAAGTGAATTTTGTAGAGCTATTTAAACAGAAAAATTATCTCTTATTATGTTTGAAGGTTACTGCAATCTGCTATATAACATAACACGGTATTATCTCATTTGATTATTAAACAAATTAGTGACGTTAGAATATGCAGTTCTAATCTGCGTAAAATAATAGGTTAACTGAATAAACATGCCGAAGTTAAAACATTATCACCCACTGCGAGCCTACTCAAATATCGACCATTAGCTGTGTCTCTGTGGGTGTTAATGCCCTTATAATACAAACCTTTATCGAATTCCGCTATGTCTCTTTAATTGTAATAAAAAATCACTTCTATGTATATCGTAATTCGTGATGACATCGAACATGATGTTATATTATATTTTACGTAGCTACATTTTCATCTCACCAATGTCTTTATTACTTGTGTCCAGTTTTTTGTTGTTATTCCATCATAAGACATATAATATTACATGATCTGGTTATTTTTATGCGCATGTTTCTTTAGTTTGTTTTTGCTTTATGTGTTTTTGTTTTGTTGTCATAGACGGCAGTTCCTCGGATACGCTGAGGAAGCTCAGCGACGACTCTTCCAGAAAGCAGCTTTCAGGTGAGAAAAGCTTTCATTTGTCTTTTTAAATTCTTTAAAACTGACTTGATATTTTATTGTGATCGCATGCGTGCACCGAACCGAGCATGGGATTATGCTTAAATTTCATGAAGCACGTACTTATCAATTCTTATCATCCTTCATTCTGTACATGTATATATTGTTCACATCGCTTTTATGTCGTCATCATTTCGGGCAGACCTTATTGAAGCTGAAGAAGACGAGGTGTCCAGCAGCCTGCCAGATAGACCCCGCACTTACCGCAAGGCATCTAGTAAGTTTCATTCTTTAAACTAAAAGCTAATTATGATGAATTATCCAAAATTCCAACACATTAGCATTACAAAGGTGGAGGACCCAAGAACACAAAGTGTATAACGTGCCATTCTGGTGGTGGTGGATAGTAACCTATCGAAATAGCATGACTAGAAAAATAATTGTAACTGTAGGGCAAACTTTGATATGCAATATTAATTAATAACAGCGTTATTACATCTAGATTGGCATAAATGGCATAGGAGGAAGTAATCGCTATTTTTTAATTGTAGCATGTTAATTACTGTGGGAATTAAAATTAAATTCCAATATTTTTATTTTCCAACGATTAAACATAAAAACAACAAATATTTATAGAACCGATATAAATTTAACTAAATAACATTTCTAATTGTATCTTGTGCTTGAAATTAACTATTTATTAATATAATAATGTCTCCTTAGAAGACAAGCTAGTAACAGATTGTATATTATCATAATTTAGCCAGGTTCTCTCAAAATAAGAAAACTCCCTACTAACTTATGTTTAAAGTTACGACTTCCTTTTTAAACCATAAGATACTCGTACATTCAGCTGATTTGATCTTGTTCCAATTTCTCATGCTACAGCTCTATTTATTTCAAAGAAATCATAATTAATTAGTAATGTTATCCGCGTTGAACGCGTATTGAAATCAACTGCGTACTGTCTATTATATCGCCTACGGTCCGTCTACATACTCCAACGTCCACAAATTAGTCGCATTGTCTCCTCTGCAAATCGTAAATCTTATCTATTGTTTTGTTTTGTTATCGTCGACTAGTCGTTGATCTTGCGATCACACTATTGATGTCAATATTTACAATCTCAATAAACAACCTGTTCTCGATCTTGTATCGTGTCTAAACATTTTTAAACGGTTACGTCAGTTTCCAAATTTTCTTAAATTTATTACCCCGTCTTATGATCTTTATTAGGAAGACGGCTGTATATTTAATAAAAAAATACATTTAATATTTTGCATGAACCGTTAACTTTTTAACAGACAGCGTTATGCCGATTTAACACAAAAATCTGTATTAGAATGTTTGTACCATTTGAGTTGAAATAGAATTGAAGTAATCTAGTCATGGCTAGTTATGTGTTAGTAGTGGCTAATGTTTATGTGTGTCGCTTATGTGTCGTGGCAGCCAGCAGTACCTACAGCATCAGCTCGATGGACGCGCTTTGGGAGAAGCACGCTCGCCGCCTCAGCGAGGCAGGCCTGAGGAGGTCTTCAGGTATTCACCATTATCAGCACAGAACATTCGGCTAACCAAAAGTACTTTATATGAACTGAATATACAGAGGCTGTAGCTAAATGTTCAGTGTTGGTAAGAACATTGCATTTTACGAGTTTTCACAACAAAACAAAGCCAGTTCATTGCTATAAAAAGAGTTATTGATCGTTTTCAGTTCTAACTGTAATTGCATTTCAATTGACATATTAAACGCTCTCAATTATTATTGATTTGGTTTGCCTTTAACCTTCGTAATAACGTTCTACAGGCACTTGACGTGGTTTTGTTTTGATTTCGTTTACGACAACAGAACCAGTCCATCCACTTCAAATATCACCTTTTCACTTTGTTATTATGGCTGATTTGATTAGGCAGCAAAAGTTTTTGCTTGCTTGTGGTGTTTGTTGTGCACTGTCTAAATAGGAGAATGCATGTTTTTGTTTTTACATATTAGATGCATCGTGTGAAAGTATCTGCAAATTACAGCGTTTCTTCAAAGTCAAATGCAGTTTGTGATGTTATCAATTACTATGAAGCGACAGTTGATTATTCTGATATAATGCAACGATATGCAAACTTCCTCACAAATGGTCACAGCGGCCGTTGCACTTGCATACAACGGTATTCAAGACGTGTGCTGATGTCCAGTACGAACCGAATATGGAATGTGGAGAAGACATGCATATTCAGATGGGATGGCTACTATAAATTTCAGTCCACTTTGAATCGGCAACTTTCCTATTGTGTTTTACCGTTAGTCTAATCCATATGAGCGGATGTAATCTTAGATTATGCATTATATCTTAAACATATTTTTAACATTAAACAATGTTTTTCAGATCACAGTGTCATATTAACTGAAGACACAGATAGCTTTATTATTGGTGAACGCGTTTGGGTGGGTGGAACAAAGCCTGGCCAAATAGCCTATATCGGAGAAACCCAATTTGCTCCTGGAGATTGGGCTGGAATTGTCCTCGATGATCCGATTGGTAAGAAAAACTAGAATATTCAACGGAAAATTCTAATGTGATAGTTGAATTTTAATCCACGACATTGATTTTTCAGGCAAGAACGATGGTTCAGTAGCTGGAGTTCGCTATTTCCAGTGTGCGGAAAAAAGAGGTGTATTTTCACGATTGACTAGGCTAACAAGGGTTCCTCTTGTAACACACGCACCTCATGATGCTTCGCCCGTGTCTGATGCAGGCAGTGTCTTTGAGCGACCACCATCCGGTGCCTCGCGTCCACGACGTACGCTATCACCAAACGGCAGCGTGCGGAGTATTGTTAGCAGTAAGATGAGTGAGTATACCTTAGTCCCATACCGAATTAATCCTTCACTTTTCTGTTGTACTTACGAGTCTGTTTTGCAGATGCTTCGATTTCGACAACGACCAACGGAGAACTTCGACTAGGAGACCGTGTTATTGTTTCAAGTAGTCGCGGCAGCAAAGCTGGCACATTAAGATTCGTCGGAAACACAGAATTCGCTCCCGGTATTTGGGCAGGTGTCGAACTAGATGATCCATTAGGAAAGAACGATGGTTCAGTTGAGGGAAAAAGGTATAATTTATATCCTTAAATAAACATTTGTGTGGTTCCGTAGAGATTCTCAGTTTTCGTTTTCAGGTACTTCGAGTGTGCTCCGCGCTTCGGTCTGTTCTCCCCCATCGCAAAAGTGTCGCGGTCTCCTTCGAACCGCAAACCAGGCGCGTGCGCCATCCACAGTAATGGACGTGCCACGCCATTGCGACGGTCGAACTCCCGGGAGTCTATTACTTCGTTAGGGACGTCGATCGCATCGTCCCGTGCGGGGGTGAGGCTCGGGGTGACGTCGCTCGGCGCTCAGGTAGGCTAGCCTCGCGCGCGCTCGGCCGAGCCTTGCCCATCACGATCGCCGCCGCCGCGCGCCCGCCCTCATCGCTCCGCTCCCAGTTTACTCGATAAGACGCTGCTCGTCAAGCACGTCGAGTACGATCGCTGCGCCATAATCGCTCTGCCCCAGCCCCGGGTCTACTACGACATAATTTTCCGACCTAACACTAACGCTAAATGTAAGGAGTTGAATCCTCGAAGGTGGGCGAGCGAGACGCTGCCGAAATCTTGGCGATGTTCGGAGAGCACGCTTAGCTTCGAGAGTGGCAGCGATCGGTCACGGCGCAGCGTTTGCACCAGTGGAAGCAGCGGGAGTAGTGGGCGAGGAGGGGGGGCTCGCGGCGGTGAGGTGGTGCGGTGGGCTGGCCGGCCGGCCGCCGTGACGAGGGCCAGCCGCGGGGTCGCCGCTACCGACGTGTTCGTCGAGATGCCGCCGTCGCGCACTCACTTCTCGGGCTTCGGAAAAAGCTACCACTTCTCTTGCGTGTCGCCCTTTCAGTTCACTTATCCTTACGTTGTATACATTTGAAGGACGTATTATGAATCCAAAAAGACAATTTCCGAATCTCTATAAATTCTTAAACCTGACCGATTGTTTGCTGTTTAGTTTAGTTCTGCATCAATTTAATCTCCTAATTTATCGTGTTTTGTAATTGTGTAATTAAAAAACACGCCTTAGTGCACATTCCATTTTTAGCTTTTGATTTGATAAACTAAGCTGAAACATTGGTCATTGGTCGGCGACACATCAGATTTGTGGTTTCATGTAGAAGCTTTTCGTTTGCATGAGCATCGATGTATTTTGTTATGGTCAGTAGCTGGCACCCCCTGGTTTGGCCCTTGTGTTAATTTTAAATTATATTTATTACATTTTTTTCTTCGTCTCATTATTCGCGGTAAACTTGTAGATTTTTATATTCATTTGTTTTTCGTATATTTTAATTATGATTCGTAAGACATATTAAATTATTCACATAAAACTGAATACTTTGAGACTGCTTCATTCCTAGTTTTGAAGACTGTAGTAGCCATATCTAGTACAACCACTAACAGTTATAATTTTTGACTGTGATATTATTTTTAAGTCAATCAATCTCACGCTAAATCCTTATGATTAGATATATTGATAGGAGTATGTACGCATAATTTGTATATAAGTATGTATAACAGTTTTTCGATTTGTTTTACTAATGCACGCAATATTTTTAATTATTTATTTATTTAAACATAATATTATTGTTTATTTAAAGCTCAGTAATAACTTATTCGCTATGGTACTGAAACTCCCAAAAACGTTATACTAACTTTAACACATAAATTCATATGATATTCTTTATTTATTTATTACTGTGTCCCTTAAAATCTGTGAACTGGTAAACTATATATATTCTATAAATTTATTATCAATATTTGACATAGTATAACTATTTTATATTTTTATAATAATATGCTTTTGTAGGTTCATTCAATACAATTTTGGCACAGTCGTTATAATTGCAAAATTTGTTTTTATAGAGCTTTTTAGATTGATTCGCTATATCCGATATGTGATTGAGATATCAAACTATTACAAAGTTGAAACATTTTCCCCCCGACAAGCCATCGCAAATCGGATGTTTGTTGCCAGTTTCCAAAGAATTAAAGTTAACTGTACTTAGTTCTTTGTAATCTTGCAAATGCTATTTTTAGATGTGTACCAATAACCCCAACCAATATTAAAAACATTTAGAGCGAAGACTAACATGGAATAGACGCCATCTAAATTTGCATCCCTGATGCCGTAAAATGCTGCGAAGAATATTTTGGTGAACTTAGAAATGGTGTTTTCCTTTTCACTTATGTATATCTATTATTGAATCTATTAGCCTATCAACACTTCTAGTGGCAAATATAGATGGCGTGGTCCGAGTGTACCCTCAGTGTAAGTTTTCCGTATTCCCCTTTAAAAGTAAAATTTACAGCACCATTGTATTGAGCCTTTGTGACTGCCCGTGAACCAAAGACTTTTTTCCCAATAAGTATTAACGATAAATCATGCGTTTATAAAACTTACAATAAGGGTACTGTTTATAGTGGACGCCACGTAAGAGGAACTCCAGAACTTGCATGGGCTGCGAGCGATAGATTTTTTTTTTCGTTCAGTGCACACTTCGAAAGGTTCATGTTACGTGACGTCAACTATAAGAATATGCAAGTAGTGCGTGCGTTAACGCGTGTTGTTTTCCCTCATGTTTGTTGCGCATTCGCACTGTCACTAACGGCACGGCGGCATGCAGCGAGTCGGTGGTCCGCGCGCGTCGTCCACCCCGGTCTCGGCGAAGAACGCCCTGCAGGTACAGTACCCCACTATCGCCGCGCGGTAAACTCATGGCGAAACACGTGCTCGCCCGTGGGCTGTACCTCAAATAAGGCTCCGTCCATATAAACGCACGAATATTTACTGCTGCTATGACGCGAGTGACGTCATAAATCACTCAGTGGAAATCTTTTATGAAAGATTACCATTACTTATTAGATGGATATATTGTGTTTTTTTTACTTTCGAGTGTTGTTAAAGTATTGTTGTACAGCAGTAGTGAATGTTCACAGATTTCTTTGAGGTCCAGCACACGTTTGAGTTGTGCTTTGTCTGAGAGTACCAAGTGACGGTATAGGGGCTCAAAAGTTTTTGACTGTTAATTTTAAACCTGCTTTGGCAGTGTCGTGTTTCTTCATACTAATGGATACGAGTAACGAACGTAGTAAAGTGACTTTTGTGTTATTTGAATTTGAGTTGTATAACACACTAAAACTCTTAACAGATTGTTGTATAAGTTTATATTAATTTAACCATCCGATTTTGTTGAAACACAAATGTAAGTCAAAATGACATTGAAATACAGCGTTTAGTTACCAAATGTTTTGTAGTTATGTATTTATTTACTTTGAGACACGGATTCCTTTAGGGATAATACTTGTCGTTCTTGACGCACTATAAGTACAAACAAATAGAGATATTTTTTAATGATCATGTTCCAACAATTTACCAGACACACAAGCTTAATAAGTAAGTCGCTTTATAATTATTTATGATGAACAAGCTAGAATATATCTGATGCAAAACTGTGATATTGTTTGTCATTCATGTATTTAATATTTATTTTCAAGAATTGATTTTTATGTAATTTATTTATATCTGATGCAATGACGTAATGTTCTTTATTATAGAAATTATCCTTTATAATTTTATAATATCAATCAACCAGTGCCTGTAAGTTAAAAAAAAATATTCATGTAATTGTAAGTACACAATAATGTTAATTCCATTTTTATATATGGACATCCATATTTATATGTAAGTTAAACTCGTCTACTTAATATTACTAAGTAACTATGGCCGAGTTAACATAGAATTAGAATTAGTACTTCTAATGTTAGAAGATACAATTGTATGAACGTTATTAATTTAACAAAATGTTATTCGTCTTATATTGTTACCTCTCGTAAGTGCATACCTTCGAATGGTAAATAATAAAGTATTACTTTTAACTGAAATGTTGTTTTCTTCTCATTATTACCTATACCTGCCTGTATACATATTACATTTAAACTGCATGTTATTTAGTTTTGGCTCCCTTTTTGACGATAAAATAAACAAGTGTTCTCGCTTACGTAAGACACGAGTTAATTACAGATTGTAATTATAGATTTCGTGATTACAATCAATGATTATCATAATAAAGAGAAAGTCCATGGTAGCCAAATAGGAAAGGAAAGGTATAATGATAATTACTGTTTACATATTTGCATACAGACGAAAAAGAGTACATTTTATAATTTATTTTTTGCGTTTGATAAAGTTAAGCAACTTTCGTATGGGGCGTATGGGGCTGGTCATCAGATGGGTGGTCAATTTATTATCTCAGTACTTTGGAAGGGATCTAGGCCACACCTGAACTCCAATTACGATTACATTTAATTTGATATGAATTTATGAAATTCAAATTATCAATGTAAAATAAGTGAATAACAATCAAATATAATTAAACATGCCGGCAGATGTTAAAATTGGACAATAAGGGACCTGTTCTTTGTGGAAAGTGAAAACCCTATCCCGACTCCCAATGGGGGGGAGCGATATTAATGGACCGTTGAAGATAAATTATTTAGTTTGTTATCGATTTTGGGCTTACAGAAATAAACTACTTATCCGAGCAAGATTCTGTGGTACGTAGAGTAAGAATTTATTTATTAGGTTAGGCTTTGATTATTTACTCAAATAATCAAAGGTATTAGGTTCGCTAAGTAGTATATGAAGCTCTCCTAATGATAATGATAAGGCTGTAACTGCTACACAAGGAGTATAGGTGGCGCTTAGTCAACTTTTCTTAAAACTAACTTCGGATGCCTTCATCAGTAAATAAAGACAAGGCCTTTAATTAAGGAAATCGAAGACGAACTTCAACTCGCCAACATTTCTAATTAAAAATGTAGGTAATTAATGAGTCATGTGATCGAGTACTTGATTAACAATTACCGACTTTAAATTGGCAATTTTGAGGTATTAAAGGAACAATAACGCAGCGTGGAAGCGGTTATACTTATTTTAATATTACTAGGTGCCTGCATTAGATATATTTATCAACGTGGACCATTTCAATGGGCCTCATAAGAAGAGCCTCAGCTGAGAGTCGTACAGCGAGCGATGGAGAGAGCTATGCTCGATGTTTCTCTACTTGATCGAATCAGGAATGAGGAAATCCGTACAAGAACTAGAATTACCGACATAGTTCAACGGATCGCAAAGCTGTAGTGGCAATGGGCGGGGCTTATAATTCGGCGAACCAAAGGGCCGATGTTGGGGTACCAAGGTGCTACCATGGCGACCTTGTACCGGGAAGAGCTGTGTTGAAATACCCCTCACCAGGTAGACTGACGACGCAAGCGAGTCGGAAGGACCCACTGAATGCGGAAAGCGCAGGACTATTGTGTATG